TGGCAACGGTTTATCCCAATCCATTTTCTCTGCCCACATCTGTTGCAGAAAAATTTTACCTTTTATCAGCACGGGTGTCAAAAACCCAAGAGGGTCAAAAATCTTATTGAGATCTGATAATATCACTCGCTTAGTTAAACATTTCGGTTGTAAAGTGGGGGATATAGTAAAAAAGAATTGATCTAACAGTGGCTTCCATTCCAGTCCTAACGATTTCACTATTTCTCCATCTCCTATCTCAAGTGTAAACAACGTATCACCTTCACGTTTACCCATTTGTTCAATTATATCTTGGGAGTTTGAACACCACTTTCTCAGTGGCATTTTTGCAGAATCAAGGATCGAGTTCACCTCTTTCTGAATTCTACAACAGTCCTCCACACTGTCCGCGCCTGTCATCAAATCGTCCATATAAAAGTCACGGAGAATAGACTTTGACGCTTCGGGGTATTGTTCCTTCGCTTCTTCTGCCAGAGCAACTAGGCATTGTGTAGCCAAAAACGACGCTGGTGTCGTTCCATAAGTCACAGTCGTCAATTGATAAGTACGTAACTGCTCTTTCGGATTTTGTCTCCACAAAATCCGTTGCAGATTCCAATCATCCTCTGAAACGCGTACTTGACGAAACATTTTTTCGACGTCGGATGTTATGACGTATTGGTGTTTTCTAAAACGCGTGAGTATTCCGAATACGTCCTCTTGCACGGTAGGACCACATTTCAACACCTTGTTGAGCGATAGCCCTGACGAGCTTGTGGCTGACGCATCAAACACAACTCGGAGCTTGGTTGTCAGACTTGAGCTTTTCAGGACTGCATGATGTGGTAGGTAAAAGGATGGTTTTGGTATCACTAGTTCATCGGCGACTTCTACCATATGCCCCATTTCAATATATTCGTTGATGAATTTTGTGTATTCCGTTCTAAGCTTCTCATCATGCTGTAATCTGCGTTCCACACTGAGGAATCGGGATGTCGCCATGGCCAACGTAGATCCCAACTCATTCACCGTGTCTTTCCTTGGCAGACGTACTACGAACCGTCCCTCTTCATCTCTGTATGTGGTTTGATTAAAATGTTCAACTGTTTCTGCCTCTTCCAAACATCTTTGATTTTCCTTCGATAGCCGCCCGAAACTGGAAGCCTCACCGGCCATAATCGCCTTCCAATCTTCCTCTAAAGATTCGCCGACTGAATTAATTCCAGCTAAGGTCACTACTCCTATTTCGCCGGTCACTATCCACCCAAGATTGCTGAAGTTCAAAACTACATTCTTGACGTTTAATGGTATCCGAGGTACAGTGGTTGAGAACACATCAAAAAATACTCCACCACCTATTAATAAATCAACTGTCCCTGGATTTTGAAAGGACGGGTCTGCTAGTTGTGACATCAAATCATCTGGAATTTGCCAACCCTCTTTTGGCGTTTCACATGATGGTAAATTATTTACAATTGTTGGCAACACGTAACATACCAATTTAACCCAATAATCACTCAGTCTTGATTGAACTGAGACTTCAACATAGGATACAGCTCTCACTTGGCTCGCCCCAATACCACCGACTGGTAGGTTGGACTTTTTACATTCTAGTTGCAGCGACTTGGCGAGGTTCCCTGATATAAAATTCACCTGTGAGCCGCTATCAAGTAGAGCTCTACACTTACGCTGATTGCTTCGCCTATCAGCAACAAGGACAACTGCAGTTGCTAAAAACGTGTAGTTTTGTTCTAGTCCATTAAAAGCGGATGCAGCTGCCGACACGTTTGACCTCTCTGTTGTAGTCCGTTCCCTTTCAGTGGTTTGTTGAGGCTCTGGAACCTTGTCAAAGTGCAACAGCGTGTTGTGCCTTCGTCTGCATATACGACAACTATAAAGAGATTTACATACAGTTGCCATGTGCGTTGGAGAAAAACAGTTAAAACATAATCTTGAGTCTCGAACCACTGTGACACGATCTCCTATTGATAGATCTTTAAACTTACTACATGCGTATAGCTTATGTGGTTCAGAGCAGCAGCTGCATTTTATATCATTGGGGATTGAGGCTATGAGTCCTTTTCTTGTAGCTGTATGATTAGACGTCTTCTTCATAATTGCGCTATTCGTCGGATATCTTGCTTCCTCACCCTTTTCATTAGCATCTAGTGTTTCGGAGCTCTCAAATGCAATACAACGACTTGAGATGAATGCTTCCAGCTCGATGTATGTTGGTAAATCTGTGTTAGTTCGACGCAACTGCCATTCATGACTTGTGGTCTGGTCTAATTTCCTCAGAATAATTGTTACGAGCCATGCGTCCCAGTGTTCAATCGGTTGGCACAACGACTCAAGTGCGGCGATATGAGTTGAAACACATGAATGCAGCTTCTGCAATTCGTTCGCCGAGGCGACCTCTACTCGAGGTGCGTCGAGAATGGCACGAATATGAGACTGAATCACTAAGCTTTTATTGTCGTATCTCTGTTGTAGCTTCCTCATAGCTGCTTCATAGTTAACTTCCGTGATCGGTATCCCTTTGATAATGTCCAATGCTGGACCACCTAGTGCCAATCGAAGGTAAGAGAATTTCTGCGCTAACGAGTAATGCTCATTATTATGAACCATTGCCTTATAAAGGTCAAAGAAGGAATTCCACTCCTGTATATTACCGTCAAATTTCGGTATTTCAATAGGAGGAAGCCGCGCTTGTTGAGGGTGCGGAACACTAGCATTTAATGAATTATTACTCATCGACGAGTTATGCGACTTCTCCTGGTTAATCATTTCTTGCATCTCCGAGCGAATAGAATAATAATCATTTTCAAAGGCTTCTCTAGCCTGCTCAGTCTCCTCGAAATTGTCAACATCAAGAAGTTCAATTTGACATTGTATCTCATCGAATTTCCTGCTGATCTGGGGCAATTCTTCCTGCCTGAATTCCACTAATGTAATAGCTTGTTCTCTCGGATTAAATGTGTTCATAAAGTTTCGAACTCGTGTTAACGAAGCCTTTATAACACCTCTTTTTCTCTTTAGGTCAGTTAAGACCTTTTGATCGCTCTTGTCTAAACCCATATTCAACGTGAACTAATACAATATCACGTATTAGAATGAATACTACTCTCAATACTTTAGGTATCTGATCAAATTTAATTTGTAATTGACACTGTATTACACATTTACTCATATGTACCTACGATAAATAATAATAGAACCTATAACAAGAGGTGAATGACCTAGTTCTTGAATATTATGATATAATATCGACGACCGGTATTTAGATTATGTGAGTTAACGGTTCTCGATAATAATATTTATAATATGCAAAGAACTGCGCAGATATGAATAATTAATTAATTACAAATAACAATTATTACGTGATAATGAGTATAAAGTGTGATAGCAATGACGATCACGTCGAGGTCACCAAAATGAAAGGGTCGGGTACTAAAAATATTATTGAGTAATGCCCGGACACCTGAAACACTTCGCGCGCACCACTAATCACCTACCGACTCTTGTACACTGTGACGTATGGTGTGTATGTGTGTGAGTAACTCAGTCGGCAGCGGTCGGGATCGCCTCACGAGTACCGACGAGCTACGTAATGTGAATGTGGTGTGTATGTGTGTATTTGTGTGGGTGTGTACTTATAATTAATAATGACAAAAGGTAACTCTGGTAAATAATAGGTAACACGGTTGCTGGTAATAAGTTGCTGTTGCTGTATAATACACGATAATAATAATTTCACAAAAATATAAAAATCACAGCAACACCAAGTATAAAAATATAGATAATAATAATGTACGGCCCCCTTGGCACGACAGAATATAATAATATAATAATATAGTAGGTAGTAACAATATATATAATAACTCACAATTTTGTGGAGCGCAGACTGGCCAGCTGGTCCTAGCTATATAATGAATAAAGGTTTCACACACACACAAGATAAAAAAATATAATAATTTTGGCGATTCGCGCCTTGACAAATACAATAATAATAATTTTACGTGGCCCTTCTGGCCCAACAACTAGGTATAAATACGCCGCGACGATCAGCGCACGCGGGTATAAAAACAATAATAATTTACGCGGCGATTAGCGCCAACATAACACAATGTTTTTACTGGCAATTCGTGCCGACAAAAAACTATAACATAATTTACAAAACGGCGATTTGCGCACGTAACAACAGGTGTTTCGATTCACAAGGTATGCAAAACTGTACTGCCGTATTTGCGGCGGCCTATGTTGACCGATACCGCGTCGCGCCCTAATCTACATATTATATAATTCACAGCTGACACAATCATAACAAAAATAAACAATAATAATAATCCTAATACAATAAAACAAATAATATTATGTGCGTGCGTGAATGTGTGTGTGAGCCGGTCGGTGGAGGGATATATGGCGATACGGCGGCGAAAAGCATTATTTGGCGTCGACAATAGTATATATTTAAGTGATCAGAAACAGGGCCAGTTACTAGTTTTTTGAGATAGTTGGGATACCTTTTAAGAACTTGACAATTAAATCTGTCTCACCAGCTGCTTTTCGTTCTTCAAGCTTGGCATATACGTTTCGCAGTTGATCACGTTGCATTTGGGTGCGGTCCGGAGAAATACGAATGGAGCAGTAATTTGGAGTTGAACGCAATTTGTGTTTGTTTTTCAAAATTACGAAAACATCAGATGCATCTTGCAGAGAAATTTTTAACGGGCGAGGTTTTGTAGATTTTCTACCTAATCTATTGATGGCTGTAGGAGTCATAACAATTGATAGACTATCAAAAATAGATTTAATTACAGAAGAATCATTTGCCGAGGTATTATCATCAGATTCCGGAACATTGAATATAATCATATTACGTGATCTTAACTATCTGTCATAAACTTCGGATATTATGTTGTTATCTGTTAAGGTATTCGTGGACTCCAATTTAGATAAACGGGTTTCAATTAAAGTTACTTTATTTTCAAGTGAGGTGGTGCGACATTTGAAACATCATCAATTTTTCTATTGAGTTTTACAAAAAACTCTTCATGTTTAGAAAGAGTAGATTTAATTTCATTAACTGCAGTAAGAATGTGATCAATATTAGTAGAGTAATCCATATCCGAAAGAGTATGCAATGTGGTTTTCTTAACTCCAAGTTTTGCAGCTTCACAGGTGGAGCATAGCCATGAACTAACTCGGTTTTTTAAAGAGTCACCAGATAAGCTAGAAAGGGAAGTACAAGCGATATGCAAACTGTTTTGACATTTAACGCACTTTACAAGGTTAGAATCGTCCAGAGAACAGTTGCACTTTGTACACTGCATATTATAAAGTTAGATAACGGAACAAATAAAACAGAATACGTCCAAAACGAACAAAGGTCGAACAAAGATGGTCGTGGCAATGATAATTTTATTGAGTCCTGACTATGCAGAGTATATTAACGTTTCTCGTATATTATTGGATAATGTTGTTAAAAATTTTGAAAAAAATTATGGCCGTCATCTTATCTCGCATAACATTCATGGTCTAACACATATTTATGAAGATCATGTCCGATTTGGTCCGTTAGATACTTGCTCAGCATTTCCATTTGGAAATTACATGTGCTCATTAAAAAGAATGCTGAGAAAGCCAAACAAACCTTAAGAGTAAGTCGTGAATAGATATAAAGAAATTTGTGAGCTGAAATTAACTGTAAAACTAAAAAAATCTTCATACCGGTTGGCTGGATTGCACAAATGTGGCCCTGTTTTTGAGAATATCAAGACAGGAGATCAATTTAGAACCATAATATTCGAAACAATGAGTATTAAAACACATATTGAAGCTGACTCATACCTTTTGACTCATGATCATAATGTTTTAAAAGTTCTGAACATTATTCAAAATAAAAACACTGAAGATATTATTTTAATATGTAAAAAGTTTGAAAACAAACGCCCATTATTCATTAAACCTATTGAATCAACATGTTTACATATTTATATTGTTAATAAATTATCAGATAATTATGTATCGTATACCATTAATAATATAAAAAATAAAATGGTAGTTTTACCGTTTAATGAAAATTGTATAGCATTACCAATAATTCATTCTACAAAAAAATTGTTATAGTCTAATGTTTATAATGTTTAATTAATAGACTTGCATTGTATTGTATTGAGAGATATACGATATACCTACAAGTTTTTAGTAATTTATGTTTTATATTTGTCTTAATTGTATACAAATCATTACCTATATACCTAAATATACATTTATTATGTTTAGTATAAATTAACTTAAGTGCACACCAAAGTTTATGTTTTTATTTAAATTTTAGATTTGTCTAGCTATTTGTTGTTATACAATGTGGCTTGTAGTTGTTTTTAAGGACGATAATTCGGTTGAAGCTGTGCCTTATTATTGGTACAAAAACTGAAAGTGCACTTGGCCAAGAAAAAATGCCAAAAAAATGAGAACTCACAGATCACCACCAAACATATTAGCTTTTGATTATTTAGAAGCACGTACATTGGGTAATAAGAGCTATGGTAAGTATATTTGAATATAATAATAATACACATTATTATACACTACTGAAGTATCTGAATCAACCCAAAACTTACACCATATAAAAAGAAATAAAATTGAAAAAAAGAAAAAATTGTATGACCTCAGTAATTTGGAGTCCAGCTTCTGATGACGATTTAAGTAATTTTTAAAAAATCATAAATAATATTTCAAACATCAATGAAATACAATAAATATTATGCACCCCTTTTGTATTTGAGGTTGAACAAAAAGATATCAATACAGCAGTGGAATCAAATACATCTATGGAATTGAACATTGTGAATGGTAAACACTAAATTCCTATAAATAAGATAATCATACAGTTAATAATTTATATATTGTACCAATTAAGAATGATACAATTTTGTATAACATTTCTTTAACAAAATATTAAAATTTCAGGTACACAAACCGATGATTCAACACTACAAACAGAAAATATCAAAAGTGGTACATTAAGTGTAAAAAAAAAAATAAGTTATGTACAACCTGAGTCTTCAAAATTTCAGAAAGGTTAGTAAAAAAAAAAAAAATACTTATTAGGTAATAATAAATTTATTAATTATAAAACTAATATTTGAAACATATTAAGTTGTATAAATATTAATTCAACACGTCATATATATTATTAAAAATGTCATGCTTTGTTTTTGAATTATATCTGTGCAAGTTCAATTTGCAATAGGTACCCCAATTGTTACATTGGTATATTTAATCATTTTAATCCATATAATAGTAAATCATAGAAATATCCCTTGTATAAAATATAAAAAAAATATTTATAATTTGATATTAATAAATACATTTTTATTAGGTCCCTAATTGGAATCAAATAATGTAATTTTTTCATCATCTTCCCCGTTTAAAGTGACAACTGAAGAAAATATTGTGCCACAATTTGTTCAAATGGAGATTAATAGCGTAAACAGAAATGAAAAAATCTTGATAGATTTGTCAGCAGTCTATCAACCTGCTCAGAAATTGTTGGATTTGTCAGCAGACTACCAACCTGCTCAAAAAGATAAAGTACTAGGTAGATATAATATGTGTTGTATAACAATGTGGATATAAACTAAAAAGATAATATCATATTTAATATTCTCACAAGCATTGAAGCATAATATAGTAGATTTGATGAATATGTTTACAGATACTATAATATGATATTTTTCAGAACTTATGTACAAAATAAACCGTACTATGTGTAACATCAAGTATGATATTATGTCACTATCTGACAAAATTGATAATTTGATAAATAAATCTGAAAAAACTGGGCTTGGTTTTGGTGAGATGTTAACTGATGAAGATACATTTCAAGTAGGATAAAAAGGATAGTTCTGGCACCAAATTTACTCGTCATACTCGTCATACTCGTCATCCCCCCGATCCTTGCTCGTCCTAGTCATCACCGCCGCCCGATCGCGCACGTGCGCGACGTATATTTTATCCCACCCCGTCTTTGCTCGTCATCGTATAGCGCATGCGTACAACATAGAGTTATCAGTCTCTTATCTAACAGTCATATGATACCATATTATTGTACATATACAATATTATCGTGCATATTATTGTAATATCTTTTTCCATTAAATTAAATATTGAAAAAAAGATTGGTGAAATTCGATCTCTCGACCCCCGAGCTATAGCACCGACGCTTTAACCCACTAGGCCACACACCTGTTATACTGTTGTTATAATTCTTAATGTATATAGCTGTATGAATATTATTGTACACATCTCAATGTAATAACTGGTTGATACATTTATGTATCAACGTCTTATGCTACATGATTGTATTTGTAACACATTTAAGAATAATGTACTTATACAATTACAATCTTCAGGAATATACAGCCAACGACGTGTGTGTTCCGACATACCCTA